TCCCAGAGATGCCCCCAGATGATGGATGGGAGGAGCATCTGTTCAGAAGACTAACAGAGGTGGATTTCACATTCATGTTCACTTTGGCTTCATTACAGTCCATACATGAAAAGTGAATTGCGATACTGTGTTTTACTCTGTCCCTCTTAGCAAAGAGGCCGTGGCACCCGCTTGAATATTATCATTGTTGCAGAGGGAGCGATGGACCGCCAAGGTAAACCAATCACCTGTGATCATGTCAAACAGGTCAGTATTGGCAGTACTCCAGAATACCACGTTAAGCTCAACTATAGTTAGAAGGACTGCTCATAAATCATCTGTCTGTGCAGCTGGTATCAAAGAAACTAGGTTTTGACACCCGCACAACCATCTTGGGCCACGTGCAGAGAGGAGGGACTCCCTCTGCCTTTGATAGAATCCTGGTAATGTCTCAGTAAGATCTTCACAATGAATCACCGGCTGGTATTGTTTTCTTTATAAAGTTAACTGTGTAAAAAAAAATGTGTTTCAGGCAAGCAGAATGGGAGTGGAATCAGTTATGGCTCTACTGGAGGCCACACCAGAGACTCCTGCTTGTGTGGTCAGCTTGTCGGGAAACATGGCTGTCAGACTTCCGCTCATGGAGTGTGTGCAAGTGGTGAGTTAAGATCCTAAGCACACAAAAAGTCAGATTTCGACACACGGGATCTTCTAAGTATCCAATATGGAATATATAACGTGTACGAGATACTGTAGGCAAGCTATAATTGGCTTTGGGGTTGATATTTTAGAATATCTGACCCAGATTTTTGTTTTCCTTCCACCTTCACCTATATCAGACTAAAGATGTCACAACAGCCATGGCTGAGGGGCGGTATGATGATGCGGTGAAGCTCAGGGGAAAGTGAGACATGTACTTTTGTGTTGCTAATACGAAATGCTCATGTGCTGCAATAATTTTTCAATGTCCATATTTTTTTGTTCTAATTTCTGGCAACAGGAGTTTTGAGAACAACTGGAACACTTACAAGATGCTGGCTCATGTCCGCCCCCCAGAGGCAAAGGTTTGAAACTGCCGTGCTACCGAATAAATTGTCTTTCAGTCATTAAGCCTCATTGAAAAACGATATTTCTCTGTAAATATTTTTAATAAAAATCAAATATCTCTGTAAATATTTCTTTGCCAGAGTAATATCAACATCGCCATACTGAATGTGGGAGCTCCGTGTTCTGGAATGAATGCTGCAGTCCGTTCAGCTGTCAGAACTGGACTCCTCCAGGGCCACCAGATGTTGGCTGTGCATGATGGCTTCGATGGCTTGGCCCATGGGATTGTAATCTAATTGCATGCAAAAAATAATAATTAAATAAATAAGCCAGACCAGGGACCGTTTACTGTTTAAGCATTTAAACAGCTGTTTACCATAACTGTGCACAGCCATGACATACGATAGAGCACATGCTCTGTGACTCCACAGATTGAGCCCATTGGCTGGTCTGGAGTGGCAGGATGGACTGGAAAGGGGGGCTCCTTCCTGGGCACAAAGAGGTGAGAGGTGACAAGTGCAGTAATGAGAGTGCGTGTTACAAGTCTTACATCTCCATAACTTTTATTTTAGGGAGATATAATCTGTTATCATGTGGCTTTCTTCTGTTCTGAAGATCCCTGCCTCAGGAGTTCATGGAGAAGATCAGTCTGAGCATCACTAAGTTCAACATTCATGCTGTGATCATTATCGGAGGCTTTGAGGTGAGCAGCATTAGACTGTGATAATGCCACAGGTAGATCGGTATTCACACCATAACCTACATATTTTAGGTTTGAGCAGGGATAAAGAGTAAATGCAGGTATTATTATTATTATTCATTAAGTAGTTTTATTTAAAAGGGACCATGTACAGTATTAGCATAAACGTTGCCATTCAATACATTGTATCACAGTAAGCTTAAGTTGATTTCTTTTATAATTTAAAAATATTAATACACAAAACAGTACATTTAGGAAAACAAATAAACAATGTATTTGATGCAGCATTTCACATCTCTTTAACACAGTAATAACGTATTTAACATGTGTTTACATTTGCACCCATGAGGGAGTGTCCAATTCCCACTTGGAGAATGACAAAACACAAAGTCCAAAGCTAGAGCCAGCTGTGCCATAGGTCAGCTACCCTCTCTATTTTTAACTTTCACAGTTAAAAATAGAACCCAGACCTCTTACAGTGTAGGTTGCCTTCAGACTGCAGCATGTAGTAGGCTCTGGCCTACACAGAAAATCAGGAAAATGTGACAGCTGAGCTTGTAGTGTAGAGCATCTGTGCACTAGAGTGGAAGCACAACCCAGTACATGCACCTCCAATTAACCCAAAACAAGCACAGAAACAGGTTTACAGCAATTGCAAAACATGCACGCACACGCACGCACACACACACAAAAAACCAACCCTCGGTCAGTGCCAGTTACCCACAACAAATGTGGAGGTGAGTTTCTGTGTGGATGAAACCAGTCTACTCTGTTTCCGTATCTTCCTGCCACATTGAGAGCACATAAACAAGAACGACAGACACTCATTCTTTTACTGTTTTCTCCTCATAGGCATTTTTGGGAGGTCTGCAGTTGGTGCAAGCTAGAGAGAAATATGAGGAGCTGTGTATCCCACTCGTTGTTGTTCCCGCTACTGTGTCCAACAATGTTCCTGGATCCGACTTCAGCATTGGTGCTGACACTGCCCTCAACACCATAACTATGGTAAAGCTCTTATTTGGCACACTCTTAAGCACAACAAAACAACAAAGCATCAAAGTCCTATGCAGCACATTGTTCTCTTCTCATGTGTCTGCATTTGTAGACGTGCGACAGGATCAAGCAATCTGCTGCTGGAACCAAGAGAAGAGTATTCATTATAGAGACTATGGGAGGATACTGCGGCTATCTGGCGACCACGGCTGGTTTAGCAGGTGGAGCTGATGCAGCCTACATTTATGAAGAGCCTTTCAACATTCATGACTTAGAGGTTTGTCTGTCTCGTTATGAGAATCACTGATGGATATGTGGATATTTTTAAACACAGGTTTCTTATTCTTGACTTCAAAAAAAAATAATTAATTTGTAGCTAAATGTGGAACATCTGGTGGAGAAGATGAAGACTACAGTGAAGAGAGGACTCATTCTGAGGTTTGAGGGAATTATCAACATTATTACATTTATAGGGTTCACCACTGGAGGTCATATCTTATCTGTTATTCTACTTTTGTTTTAGAAATGAGAAGTGCAATGCAAACTACACCACTGACTTTATCTTCAACCTGTACTCAGAGGAGGGTAAGGGCGTGTTTGACTGCAGGAAGAACGTCCTTGGGCATATGCAGCAGGTGAACTGCTTAATGAAGATCTTCTTGTTTTTTTGTTTCCAAGATCATTATTTGACACCCAGTTCAATATTATGCATTAAAGGAAACCTGTATGTTATCAGGGTGGAACCCCTAGTCCTTTTGACAGGAATTTTGGCACAAAGATGGGGATGAAGTCTGTCCTGTGGTTGACTGACAAGCTGAAGGAATGCTACAGACATGGTGAGATTTTAGTATACCTCAGAAAGCAAAATGTTGTATTGACTTGCTGACCATCGATGTTCCCTGTGCTAATGCCACTTGTGCTGTTTAAACCTTAAACCTCAAGGTCGCATCTTCGCCAACTCTCAGGATTCAGCCTGCGTGTTGGGCATGAGGAAGAGAGCTTTGGTTTTTCAGCCTCTGGCAGAACTGTCAGAACAGACTGACTTTGAGTGAGACCGCATTTCTATTCTTTTCTGCTATCTAGTGCGCTGAAATAACTAAATGCAACTTCAGAAAGAATGTTTTACATATTTACTCAATAATTTGATCTCTTGATTTCATTGATTTCCCTCTGCAGTCATCGTATTCCAAAGACTCAGTGGTGGCTAAAGCTGAGGCCCATCTTGAAAATCCTGGCCAAGTACAAGGTCAGCCTGGACATCTCTGAAAAGACTGCAATGGAGCATGTCATCAAGAAGAGAGGCTTAGTTAATCAGTAGTTCAGCTGTAGGCTTATTTATAAGGCATGGGCACATGACCTGACTGTCTTCTTTGAAAGCACTTTGTAAACCATGTTTAAGGAGAGTGCAATATAAATAAAGCTATTAATTTAAAAAAAATTGTCTCACAGTGGACTCCTTCACCAAATCCCAAGGTGATCACTTTCCTTCATTGCTTATCTCACTGCTGCTGCTGTGCAAAAAAGGTTTTTGTCTATTTTATGCACCCAAATATAATGCCTGTCACTTTATTTCAATCTAAAGTTTATATAAAATACAGCTTTTCAGTTATCTGTAACTGTTTCCCTTTATATGAGAGCTGTCCAATATTACATCAGATTTCTTCTACTCTTTTAACCACCTTTTAGACTCAAAATGTGCTCTGAAATACCATTGTCACTGTGCATTGTTATTAATTAATAATTAATTATTATTAATAATTATGATAATTAAGTACAACATGGCACTAATACCTTTAACATATAAATGAAATAATGAGCTATCTTTGATTTATATGGGCTGAAAATAGATTGTGATTGACTGTTTCATTTGAAACATGTAAATATAAATAAAAGAGCAACAGAAAACAAAGTAAAAATCAAAACAAAATTAAGTCACCATGAATAACTCCATATGTCACACAATTTAAATGTCTAGTAAGGAGTAGGATGAAATACTATTTACACCCCCATGGCGTTATTTAATAGTTTACAAACATGTGTTCCTCAATTTAATATATAATACGACAATGGACATGTATAATTATTTACAAGCATAAAGTTTAATTACTGCTTGTAATATTTTTCTTAATTTAAGATTTTGACAATGAGTTCTCAGTGTGATTTCTGCATTTTTCCGGCTAATGTACGATTTATATGCAGTGAGACTCGATAAAACTACGGTACCCATAATTCATTCTGTTTCCGGCTAAAACGGATGTCTTGTCGGATTGGTCTTCAACGATCTTTTAAAAACAGTGAGCGGGGGAGTAAATTCTGTGAGAGGAAAGCGGCGGACATTGATAGTAATTTTTTTTAACGTACACTATTAAAAACAACATTACGCTATTGTGGAAATGTTGCCTATTGCGGGCAGCTAAAAACCTGTTTATCTACCGTACGCACAAAAAACATTTTTAAAGACGTCGACCTTCAAGTAAGTCGCAGTAACTGTTCTCGGTTAAAAGTCTGTTATAGCGTCATAGTGTATTGACGTTGTTGCTAACGCTAACTAGGCTAGCCACTGTGTTGAAGTTTAAGTTATCTTTTATTTACTCTTGGCTAACGTGTTTTCCACAGCTGTCGTCATGAAGTGTTTAAAGGTGGACGAATACATCAAGCGGACTGCTTCCGTGAGAGAAACGGAGCTTTTATTCCACGAACTCGAGGTTGGGACCAGTTTATTAAGAAGAATGCTATTAACTTTAGAATTCACGTTAAATTGCTAGTCTGACGCAAGCTGTTAATGTACCTATATTAATCCATTATTAATTGCCTCTACGTTCTCGATTTGAAAGCTGGATTTATTTATGTATGGTCTTTATTTTGCAGAATTATGTAAAGGGTAAGCCCGGGCTTCAGGGTCGCACACTGTGTGACCGGATCATCAGAGCTTGTAACCATCAACTTGGAGTTGGAGGCCTTGACTTGGAGCACATCGGTCAGTTGGTGAAACTGATGGAGCTTTCTCTTCATGGCTATGACATCTTTGCAGCACTTGTGCCTCAGAGCAACCCCTTATACATGGAAAAGATTGTTTTCCATATTGTCAAAAAGCTAAGCAGCATAGAAGTTCACACTCTGTGCAGCCACATAGCTGGACTACTTTACAGTCGTCTTTCTAAAGCCCAACAGGTATGCGTTGCTTTCTCTACAAGAGTGTCTTGTGAAGTATGTCTTACATTGAGTTGAAAAATTAATAATTTAACAAGATTTGTATTTTCTGTAGGATGAAGAAGACTACTGTGTTCTTGTGAGGAGCTGTTTTTCCGTGCTGTGGAACGGACTATCTGCTGCCAAAGACAAGAAAATCTTAAATCCTCAAGACAGACTGCGCTGCCAGATGCAGGCTTTGAGCTTTCTTTTGCTTTTGGACACTGAAAATGCAACTCCATCTCTGCCTAAAGCTGTCGTATACATTGAAGATATCATCACTGAATTTGAGAGTAGCTGTGGAGTGATGACAAAGGAGGATACCTCCCTTCTTCTACAGGAAATGAACACACTTTTTAACACATGTTGGACTGGTGATCAAGACTCTGACAGGGATGGCTCAAAGCAGCGTGCAGCATCACGTTTTTACGTGCTTTCTGAAATGGTGCTGATTATATTGAAGGTGCTGTGTAAGGCTGGCCACCACAGGCTGGCCTCCTCCTTCCTGAGTGAAATTGAGAGAAAGGCCTCAGAGTTTCTTAGCTGTCAGTGTACAGCAGTGGTGCTTGCCAAATGGGGAGTAATGATTCATTCAACAGTGAAAGCAGGTGATGATGCTCGCCAGGCTTTAACAGAGTGTGCTAGGGCCGTGAGATCAGTCTCTGGTAACCTGGGTGACAGAGAAGGTCATGCATTTCTGGAAGGGTGCAGCTTTGTTGTGTGGGCTGTCGACAGTGGGTATGACAAGGGTTTAAGTGGACCGGTGCTACTGGCTTTGTTTTCTTTTTTTGAGGAACACCAAGAGTGCGTAATGAGGATACTAAACAAGGTTAGCATTGCCTTTGACGAGTCAAAATAGGTTGAAGTTTGGAAGAACTGACTTTTTCCTGATTATAAGTGCTTTTTTTATTATTATTACATTTATTTTTTCAGAACTTGTCATGCCAGGCTGAGTGCAGCAGACTACAGAAGTCGCTTTGCTTCAGTATTTACAAAGGCTTTGAGTTTGCCTACGAGAGCATGCTTGCATCTGAGGTAAGTAGGGATGGGTAGAGTGACAACATAACATTGTTTTGATTATGTTTTTCAAGGAAAGTAACACAACTAAGACCCAACTAGATATTTTCTCTTATAATTACATTGTGCTGTTAATAACTTTCTTTTGCTCTTCTTCTTTTACTGTTGTTGTTTTGTTGTTGTTGATTTTGTTTTTTAATTTAGCAAAGAAGAAACAGGAAAAAAATATGTACTTTGTCTGCCAATACTTATACCAGTATGCAGTTAGAGCTGTGGGGATTAGAACCACTGCAGGAGGGGCATGGATGACCAGGGAAAAATATAGAATGATTTTGATCTTTCTTTTTTAAATTTTCTCTTAAACTGAACTTGGAAAGTTCTTGCTTTATAGCTTCTTTTTTTTTAAAATAAATAAAACATTTTGGTAAACAAATTCAAAAAGAGAAAGCCGCTTGTTAACCACTGTTATAGATAATAGAATTGCTCTGGTTTATTACTGTTTGAGTTGTGCACATACAGTCAATGGTGTTTCTGTAGA